AACCTGACTGGCATTTGTATGAGTTACAATTCGAAATGGAACTTTGAAGGCTATACTGTATATTGATTTTATTTATCCACTCCTGACTCTACAATCTCCTCTTCTAACAAATTTAAACTTCTCCAATTTCTCACCGATCAAGACTTTTCTTGAGTGCGCAAGTACTTGATGTACATGCCGCCACCTTTCTTTTGTATTATCAATGTCTTTCGTAATTAAAGCTTGTTGATGAGATTTAAATTTTTTAAAGTAGGCAAGAGATTCTTGCAAAACTTGCCGCCGCGTTTGAAGGTTTCGTTTTAATTTATCGATTTCCTGACGATCTTAAATTACCACGGAATTTTATTTAAATTTTAATATAACAGAAAAAATTTTTATACGAATCTGTTAAAGTAAAAAGTAAATAAGTTGGGTGAAATATTTTAAATATTTACCTCGACCGATTTCTTCCCTTATCTTATTTATCTCGAGCTCCAAACTGTTTACTTTTTGAATTTTTGCATGTTTCTCTGCTACGCTCACTTGTATTTTTCTCATCGTCCCTGATAGAAAATTGTTTGCCAGATCAACTTTTTTTTGTTTTTCATGTGAGATTTGGTTCGTCTTGATTTTATGTGAATGTAACCTTAAAAGAAAATTAGTTAAATTAGAAAATAATAATAAAAAAAATTAAATGTGACGTATTCGACAAAATTCTTACTCTTGCCGAATACAGTTTGCACACCAAAATTTGCGATGAAAATTGTGACATATTTGACATTCCATCTTTTAGAAAATTTAGAAAATAAATGCAGAAATCATTTTAGTCCAGAAAAAGATTTGATTTTAAGAATTTATAAAGGCTACGTAATACATTGCGTTATTCAAATTTAAGGCCAATCATATCGTGAGAAAATGAAGTTGACAAATACACCAATACATTATCGGTATTCGATTAGCGTTAAATTAAATATAAAGTGACACAGGTTAGTGTTCGCAGTTAAAAACATTATACGTATTCGTAGACAATGCACGTGTCATGAATTTAGTGATAAGAAATAGTACTACGCAATTTAAAAAGGCATTGATGTAAATGCAAGACAACAACACCAGGGCGTAGGATCGATTTTCCGATCACATGATTTTCCGACGTAAATTAACCAATCAAAAATCAATTCAACAAAAAAGCCGAATTCATGAAATCAAGACTTAAACCCAAGATAATATCGCTCCTAATTTATAAAATAAAAAGATGTTAGAAGAAACTTTTATCAAAAAAAAAAGCTGATGTCTACATGAGATATACTTACCCGAGGTTAATAGTGCCAACTTTAAATCAAACAAAAAGTTTGAAAAACTGTCTTATTCGAATTTCAAGATGCCCAATTTAAATGAGTAAAGACGTTGCTCTTAGGATTATTATATCCTGCAGATTTCAAATACCATTAACTGACCTTTTTTCAACTTAGTTACGCCTATGCCCGTTTTATAATAAATCCGAGGTTACCTTACCCGTTAGAGATCTTAGTTAAAAAAGGGTAACTTTCTGAAATTAAATTTAAAAAATGAAGTGTGAAAAAAAATATATTACATTTTAAACGTTTGAGCTACGTAGAATTTTGTGTATAAATTTGATCATACTTGCCATCTGAGTTAATTTTCGTTAATATCACATATGTAAACGAGTGATTACTTTCGGAGTTTGCCCACCTATAGATCAAGGCTAAGGGGCTGCCCACCTATACTATAGAAAATCAAAAAAAAAGAACCAATTAGTATAGTAAAAAAAAAAAAAACT